TTCATACTATGAATACTGTGAATTAAAATGGAAACACAAAGATGCGGTGATGAAGATTTCATGGGCTTGAATTTGGGGCTTACAATTTATTTATTTTAGGACTGATTTTTTTCTTAAGCCCTGGCTCCAAGATTCTAGACTTACCTTCATGTGTGAAAACAATTTTCTAGATTTGCTGAGTCCTGGGGCGGAATCTGATGTTGTCATGGAAGAAGGCAGTGACGGTGATGACAGCGAAAGGAACAGTGGGCTCATGGATGACATGGAAGAGGCCATGATCCAAGACACTGAGATGGCCCTGGCAGAAGGCCAGAGCGACAGTGGGGATATGCAGGATCTAGACGCAGACCAGGAGGATTCCAACAGAACCATCAGGTGAGGGTGACGGGTATGGCCACAGCCACCGCCACACAGGGCACCAAGCAATTTTACTCTTTAAGTTTTTTGATGTTTTAATCTATCATAAAAGAAACAAACTGTGTCTGGCTTCATCATGAGCGGTCCTGATACTGCGGAGGAGAGCTTTTGACGATAGGAGGCCTGCTTCCGCGAGAGAGTTGTTTACATCATTCCGGACTTGTTCATTCTTTGCCCCGTCTTCCTCTGCGTGTGATGGGTGCTTCTGTCAGCTATGTTCACCCTCAAGTTCGAAGTTAACGTTAATCCAGAGTGCTTTGTGTGGAAATGCAATCAGGGATCAAGCTCTGCAGAAACTGCTTACTTTATAACTGACCCCTGTTCCACATATCCCACTCCATCTACACCTCGTTGTTCTTGATTTTGTCTCACACATATGTGTGGTTTGATGACTAGTACCTAGACTTACTGTTTTACCCCTGGATGATCTTCACTTTCCATATCAGTAGTCAGTACAGCACGGCCACCAGACCGAATGGGATTACTGCCTGCTCTGTAATTGAATTTTACTGGAGTCTGCCACACCTGTTCATGTGGTCTGTGGCTACTTCTGTACTGAAATGGTAGAACGGGGAATCCTGAGAAGCTGAAGGCCCACACCACCTGTAGCCTTACAGAAAAAGCTGCCCACTCTCTGACTAACAAGCTGTACTAAAACCTGGGAGAAAAGAGGAGGGATGAGGAAGAGACAAAGGCAGGAGAGAGAGGATGGTCACTTCAGAAGGAAGTCAAGGATCAGAGTAATCCCATGAGTACCTGCCACGTGAAAGACAGGTTCTAACTTTTATTAAATCTTTCAGACACTATCATGTGGAAATACGTAATTTATAAATGCTTAGTGTCCTGCCTATTGTATATAATAAATAACAAAGTTTGCTCTGTGATTCTGAATACTGTGGCTTCAGAAAACTGATAGTAAACTCTCTGTTGTTACCAAACATTGAACAGCAACAGATCAGTCTGAAAATCCAGGGGCTTAGTACCCTGCCTTGGGGTTTTTTAAGTGAACATATAAAGTGCCTGTTACTCTTTGGAGTCACTTTCTGAACCATCAAACTCTGAGAATACATTTCACTGAAAATGGGATATGGATTTTTTTTTAACTTCTGCATTAAAATAGTTGAAATAAGGTTTATGCATGAAAAGAAGGTCTGTGTCTGAAAATACTTTCCCCCCCCCCGACATATTATAACCTTTCAAGCCCATCTACAAGCAACAACATTCCTCTCATGAGGGTGGTGCAGTCTGTGAAGCACACGAAGAGGAAAAGCAGCACAGTCATGAAGGAAGGCTGGATGGTCCATTACACCAGTAAGGACACACTGGTAAGGTGACAGGAGCACCCACTGTCTCCTAGCTGTCGTTAAAGGAGCTGCTGGTGCCCTGGAGGACTGTGGGATATATGAGTTCATGGGAGTTAAGTTCCTCACAGCTGAGGCCTAGGGTCGGCAACAGAGCTCAGGACTCTAAATGTCAGGTGTAGCTGAACAAGCAACAGGACTAGAAATAAATGTAGAAAGCGGTTCCAGCCAAAGAAAAATAATGTCCCAACAACTGCAGTGTCTAGCTGAAAGCCACACAATATGCTTTCCAAACACCCCTCTGTGATTTGGAATTTTCAGAGAAACACTGCATTTTAGGGAGACAGAAAAACAATGATGACTGTTGTATATTCTTAAATTCTTAGTAAGTGTTCATTTAGAAAGCTAACCAGCTGGAGAGCATGATAATAACAGCTTGAGTCGCTCCTTATCTCTAGATTATCTTAATAGTTGAATGTGACTGAACGGGAGAAGACAGAAAACTTTGAGCCATGATTCAGTGTTAACTGATTGACACTGGTGACAGCCTCTCTTTGTGCCCATCTGACCTCCACTTATCAATAGGACCCCTATCATTCCTTTACATAGACATGTGTAACTTAAGTGATCATCTGTGATTTAAACCTTCTTGTGGGAGAGAGAAGATTTAGTGCAGGACTCAAGTGAATACTGTCTAATTCTTCATTAGCATGTTGTAAAAATATTTAAGGTTTATTTAATATATTTGTCTGGTCTAAGAGTTGTGAAAGAGACCAAAACTTTTAGGACTTTGGTTCTGGTAACATGTAAGTGTGTTTGTACACACACACACACACACACACACACACGCACGCACGCACGCACGCACTTGCAAAATCATTGACTCAGATTGTTTTTGTGACCTGAAACATTATATTTTCTACCATCAAATCCACCCTCCCACTAAGAAAATGTACTTATTTTTATCAATTTCATGTATTTAAGTTTTTTAAGGATCTGGACTGTAACTTCTATTTCAGAGGAAAAGGCACTATTGGAGACTGGACAGCAAGTGTATCACACTCTTCCAAAATGACACGGGAAGCAGGTACTACAAGGTAAGGAAGGCTTTCTTTCCAAGTTGTCTCATCCCCCTTCTTGGAGAGCAGAAACCAGGAATGTGATGTGCATCCGGCAGCTATGACTGTTTGCCTGTTTCTTCTAAGAGGTGCTTTTTAAACCTATAACATGTAATTTTCTTAGTAATCCAGTTATGATCTCTTCATACATCGGCGGCGAATGTCACATTTTCCTAGGAAGTACTTCTTGCCCCAGGGAATGGTGGGGGCTGGGTGAAGGAGGACTATGCATATCTCAGTCAAGTTGTGTGATTCTACAAGGTCAGTTTTCGCAGTACAGGAACTGAAAGCAAATTCCTGAGACCCTCAGGATCGAGCACGTCTCTGACTGTTAAAAAGGAGTACCATTTCTCCACAGTTATCAGTCTCCACAAGGAACCCAGTCATCCACAGAACTATCTAGCAGGTCTTTCTACTTTCAATTGTATAGATGTAGTATCATATATTACTCACTAATGCATAGGTGTAATAGAAATTAATAGTGAAACTCTTGGCACTTGGGCCTTCAGCGTGAATGCAGACTCTGGCTGAGTTCATCTGATTCTTTACGGCCATTTTACATAACTGTGACAATAAAGGAAGCCTTGTTAATTTTTTTTAGATTTATTTATTTTATTTTATGTGTGTGAGTTTTTGCCTGCATGTATGTAAGTGCACTCGGGACATGTGATGCCTGTGGAGGCCAGAAGAGGGCGTTGGATCCCAGGAACTGAAGTTACAGATGTTTGTGAGCCTCCCTGTGGGTAGTGGGAACCAAACCCAGGTCCTCTGTGAGAGCAGACAGTGCTCTTATCTGCTGAGCCATCTCTCCAGCCCCACCTTGTTAATTTTTATTTAAAAACTGCATTTATTGCCTCATTTACTTCATTAAGTCATGAGACTTAATGTTTTAAAATATTTAAGTGGCCTTATAAGCAACTAATTTTAGGGGTGGAGGAAGTGGCTCATTCAGTAAAGACCTGCCACACAACATAAGGGTCTGAGTTCAGATGCTCAGGACCCACGTAAACAGTCCAGGCGTGGTCCAACATCTCTATAACTCCAGTGCAGATGCAGCAGAGACAGGAGGATCTCTGGAGCTTGGTGGCCAGCCAGGCTAGCTAATCAGTGACCTCTGAGTTTAGTGACAGACGTTGTCTCAAAAAATGCGTTATAGAACAATCCAGGAAGACATCTGACCTCAGATGGTGGCCTCTGTGTGCACATATACGCACCTGTGTACATACTTGTACACACACACACTGTTTTTAAACCAACAACTATTTTGTAAACCAGTTATTCTGGTTTTCCTAAAAAAAACCCTTCACTTAGCTATATTGCTATATTAGCATGTATTGAATCAAATTGTGTTTCACTGAAGTGCTTTAAAGAATGGTTAAAATATAGAAACAGCCATGCATACCCAAATGCAATTCAAAATGTTATCATTTTACCTCACAGCTTTAAATGTGAACAGTGATTCCAAGTGTTGGATTTGGATGTAAAATCGAAACCATTATTCTCAACCATTCCAATTCCTGCCACATGCTCAGTATAAAAAAATTCACTTACCATGTTCTAGAAAAGTGTGATGATGAGATTTCTCATTATGAAAAATATTTTATTACTACTCTATATTTTATAAAATATTTTATGTCAATGGTGTTTATTTGTAGCTTCTTTCTTGCATGTTCCTGACATGGATTTTATTTAAAAGTTTACATTTTTTTGATAAACGACATTTAGCATTCTTTGTCGTCCACAGGAAATTCCTTTATCGGAAATTTTATCTCTGGAACCAGCAAAACCTTCAGCTCTAATCCCTAGTGGAAGTAATCCTCACTGTTTTGAAATCACTACAGCAAACGTAGTATATTATGTGGGAGAAAATATGGTCAATCCCTCCAGCCCCCCACCAAACAACAGCGTGCTGACCAGTGGCATCGGTGCAGATGTGGCCAGGATGTGGGAGATGGCCATCCAGCACGCTCTCATGCCTGTCATTCCCAAGGGCTCTTCTGTCGGTTCAGGAACCAACTCACATAGTGAGTCCAAAGATTTCTAACTAGCTTGGAGTTCAGTTCACCTCCTGCTGCCCTAGTAGCAGACCGTCTGCCTTCCCCAAGAAGACACTTGAATAAGACTTCTTGTAGTGGCGATAAGTTTTGTGAGAACGTCGAATCTGTAAGGAAGAGCTGCTGTGCCTGCTAAAATACTTCATCAACTTTGTATATCTTCCTTTCTTTATTTTAATATCAGCTTTAACAAATGCATATATGCCATATATCTCAAACAAGTAGAGAGCTCTAGAGCTGTTGATCATAAAAGAAACCATCTGGTCATTTCGAACTACACTTGGAATGCCACTAATATGAATAAATCTGTCTCCCCAAGTCACTTAACATGGTTCTCTATCAATGCATGTGATGCCCAGATGGTGGGCATCTCGACCTTCTAATCCCAGGAAGAAATCTCTGTTCATTAGTAAAGTGATAGCAAAATGCAGCCAAGATCAAGTATTGAGGGTGAGATAAAAACATTTTAAAGGGATAGCTGTATAAAATTACAACTTGAAATTTCACCCTTGGTTATTACAATAAACCTGTGAATTCACCCATCTTACACTTAGGGTATATCTGGTTTATCATAATTATCATCTTTCTCTTCAACCAACATCTTAATAGAATTTATGTGTGTTTTGAACAGAATACATTTGTATTTATACTGAACACTTAATGAGAGACCTCTGTTTTAATGTCTAAATCCCATCAGGTTAATGATTTATTTATTTTCTAGAGGAAGAAATTAATCTCTAGAAAGATAGCTGTTTGTAAGCTCATAGCAGAGCTTCTCAGTAAAGCCAGTATTTGATCCCATGTCTTTTCTAACACAAGCGCTAACAACAACAAAAATGTGTGTGTGTGTGTGTGTGTGTGTGTGTGTGTGTGTATATATATATATTTGAACGCTAAGTAGAGACTGGGTTTGTAATTTTAAAATAGACAATATATTCTGATAAAAATTTCGCAGAAGAATTAAATTTCTGTGATTTATTTAAAAACAGTCCCCTAGGACAGCTGCTCTTCAGACATTTTTCTATGACTCTCAAACTGTTTTATGTCTATATTTTTTACATGCAATTTCCAGACGATCTTTCAGTGAGCATTTCAGTATCGAATTGCCAGATCCTAGAAAATGTGGTGAGTAGGAATCTGTTCATATAAATCTTGGTGTTGTGATTACTGGAAAACAAAAAGTATCATGTGATGGGTTTCTGTTTACCACTTTAAATTTTCTAGACATGTTTTGCATATTTAATAGCTAATGTACATGGCATACTCTTTGTTTAGTGATTTTTCTGTATTCTGTAGTGCAGCACCAATGACTGTTTTTCATATCAGAAAGATAATCATCCTTTTATACATGATTTTTCACAATTATCCTTTTTTAAAAAACCAAGATAGGAAGGCAGTTTATTGAGGACTCTGCAAGAAGGCAGCAGGCCAGGCCCTGACTGGAGTTTTCTTGCCCACACGTTTGCCCTTCTTGATACTAGAATTTTGATGGTTGATGTTACACCGTGAAATAAAATAAAATAAAACTTATCTGTAGAAGTTGCTTAAACATGCCATTGTTGTAAGTCTTTGCTAAACAGAAGTCCTGACAAGTGACAAGGGCTGCAGATGCTCTGATGGTCGTGCCTGCATGCCAAGATCTAGACTTCAAGGAAGTTCCATGAATCCGATTTCATAGGTCCGCACTGTAACACCCCGTCACCTGTGTCACATAACTCGGCCTTTTCTGCTCAGTTTTTAAGTCACAGATCATATTGTAATATGTTTTCTAGACTATTAGGTTTGCTTTGTTTGCTCTTTTTTACCATTATACTGAGTAGCCAAAAAGTCATATGGCCTTTGCTCCTATGACCACTTTGTTTTACCCACTGTATCTAAGACCAAAACAAAGCGGTTCACAGCCCTGCGTATACTGGCCTAGGCTGTTTCTCAAGAAATAAACTCCACCACTCAGTATTCAGTACTTCCCATAGCCCTGGAAGTCTTGCTTTGTTCGCATAAACCAAACAAAGCAAAGCCCGAGATGAGGTAGGTGAGACAGCTTCCTAGTCAAGGCTGTGAAGGAATTCTTGAGCTCTCTGTCCTAAAATACATGTCTAAAGACTGCAGGCTTCTACTGCTCTTGCTTACACAGAGGACCCTGGGAAATGCAGGTTTTTCTAAAGCCTCTTGAGAAAGTCCAGATAACCACAGAGCATTTTGTCCCCATCAGCCGTTATTGGCCACTGAAAGTTTTGAACTGAATTTTCAAAGCAAGTCCCAGGAAGCCATCTGCTAACAGATGGAATAGCTTGGATTCAGAAAACCGGAATTGAATATTGTTCGCTCCGAAGGGGTCACAGCACACAGAACTTCTAGATGCTTTCTAAGAAAGAAAAAGGAAAGGGATAAGAGAGGATATGATGGAAAAACCCTTAAAAGCATGTAGGAGTTGAGACGAGGCAGATTAGGATGTACTGACTGTAACAGGATACAGAAGGTAAAGATATGCGTTTCCATACTGTGGTCACAAATCATAGTCTATAACCCTTAGATTAACCCACACTGCACGTAACAATGACAGTTTCAAAGTATATTCCATGAGCAGTAATACCAGAGAGATTCTTTACATCACAAATCAGAATTTTGTGATTGTTGTTTGTAGTTGAGGTTTATCTGTATGTGAATGACTAACCAGGAGCAACCTCAAGGTCCTAGCTAAAGGGTGACGGGACCTAAAAATAGTTAATGACATTCCTAAACCACCATTGCAGAAAGAAAAATCCATTTTCAGTTACTTATATTACAAAAACATGGTGCAGTTTTAGATGTCCTTTCTCTTGATTAAAACATTTTAAGAGCTCAAAAGAAAAAACATAAAACTTCATGCACTTAAGATCAGAACAACTTTCAAAATATTACATTGATGTAATTTGAAGATTACAGTTATTGAAATTTTATCTAGCATTTACAAGTAATTTATCTCTAAAATATTTGAATGTATTTATATATCTAATAAAATAATGTTAATTATGATTATAAAATTACTAGATTTAAAGCTTTATTATCATCTTTGTTTTCCGTGGGGCCTGTACCTGTAGGACATCAGCACAGTTTATCAGATTTTTCCTGATGAAGTTCTGGGTTCTGGACAGTTTGGAATTGTTTATGGAGGTAAGTTAGTTCAATATGTAATTCTATAAACTTAAATTTTTAGTTAACTATGTGTAAAAATGATATTCCCAAGAAGAAAATAAGCAAAAAAAAAGACATGTATCTCAATTGATATTGCCTTTGAGAAGCTTTCCTTCTGATATTCATTCTTTGAAAAAGTTAGTAAATGTCTATTTTGAAAGAGTTTACTGTACCTCAAAAACTTTTTTTTTATGTCTTTTTGAGACAGGGTCTCCCTGTAGCCCCAGCTGTCCTGGAACCCACTATGTAGACCAGGCTGGCCTTGAACTCACAGAGATCCGCCTGCCTCTGCCTCCTGAGTGCTGGGATTGAAGGCGTGTGCCACCACGCCCGGCTCAAAAACTTTTTTGTTTATATATTTGCAAACTCTACTCACAGTGTTGAAGCAGTTTGATTGATTTATTGAGGGAATAAGTGAAAGCAAGTCAGCTGAAGTTCGTAGCAAGCCAGTCCGTTTTGCTTCAACATCTTACTCTAGAGCTCTTAACAGGTGCCTGTTTATCTCACTAAGGCGGATACACTTGAACTTTCTAACACCTTTAGCAGTATGTGCATTTCATAACGTCTGAACTTCTTAACTTTTCAAGTGAAATACTGACTTTTTATTTAGGTCTAGACAGTTCACTCATACTTTTCAATTCCTTAAGCAACATTTAATATTCTTATTTTACCTGCTACAGAAAATGACACCTTGGAGTTTCTTAACATGATTTTTTTGTGGGTTTGTGTTTTCTAAAGTAACCACATTATCTCACTTCCTTTGAATTATACTTAACTTAAAACATGAAAATTTTAAATATAGAATTTACAATATGAAAATTTAAGTTCTATTTTCAGAGGAATTTTGATGCTTATAAAAATTCTGCAGTGAGGGCCAGAGACATGGCTCCGTTGGGTAAAGAAATTTGCCACCAGGTCTGACAACCTGAGTTCAATCTCTGGGACCCACATTGTGCAAGGAGAGGAGTGACTCCTGTAAACTGTCCTCTCATCTCCACACATGTGCTGTGGCTATGTGCCCCCACACATGATAGATAGATAGATGATACATAGATAGATGATAGATAGATAGATAGATAGATAGATAGATAGATAGATAGATAGATGATTGATAGATGATAGATGGCTGAGAATGACAGAAAAGTTGGACAAGATATAAGAAAAAATTGTATAAAAGTTTAGAGAGTATCTGAGGCAACTTAGGAGCCAAGTTATTGCCAGATGATAGATAGATAGATAGATAGATAGATAGATAGATAGATAGATAGATAATGGATAGATGATAGGTAGATAGGTAGACAGATGATAGATAGATTGATGGAAAATTGATAGATGATAGATAGATGATAAATAGGTAGATGAGGATAGATAGATAGATAGATAGATAATAGATAGATGATAGGTAGATAGATAGGTAGACAGATGATAGATAGATAGATAGATACATAGATAGATAAATGATAGACAGATGATAGATAGATAGATGATTGATAGACAGATAGGTAGATAGATAGATAGATAGATAGATAGATAGATAGATATATGATAGACAGACAGGTAGATGATAGGTGGATGATAGATAGATAGATAGATAGATGATAGATAGATTAGATAGATAGATAGATAGATGATAGATAGATAGATGATAGATAATTTTTAATACTGCATTTTTTTCTAGAAAACCTGTCAATGAGTCCATAACCACTGTACTAATACATGACACTGTAATAAGGAAGATCAAGTATCAGATTATTTTTCTACAATGTAATAATTGCATGATAAAAATCATGGTTGATAAAGTCTGGTAAACACATACCATTGCACATAGTGAGGGGTAAGGAAGGGGTGATGAGTGAGAGGAGAGACCAACAAACTCCAGATACTTGGAAGCACTGAACACCGAGGGACTGCACAGCAGGGAGGCCTCCCCAAGGAGACTGAAGACACAGGAGAGAAAGGCGATGAAGCCGGAGTCTCAGAGGCGGGTCCTGACCATATGGACGGGGTGGAGATAGAAGCAGCTCTGGGCTTGTAGGCAGTTGCTACTGAAAATGGCTGAGTTGAAATAGAGTCTGTATTGGCTCAAGAAGGGAGGGATGATGTTCACCAAGTAGAGATCACGATAATAAAGCAATGCGGGCTGAAGGGGGCCACCCGGAAGGGACCAGTGGAAAGTGAGAGTAGATGCTGAGCATAGAACACTGGGTATGCAACCAGATGTTGGAATTTCAGAATTTCAGCTGGCTATGTCGTCAAAACATGTCAGTAATTGTACCTGTTTTCCACTTTCATTGATATTGTGTGTTTTCAGATTCGATCACTACTGTAGTTTGTAATGGAGTGGTACAGAAGTTAAGAGCTTGAGGGTGTCTCAACATCCTATCCAGATTTGTTGTGAGGATTGAGGTTAACGTAGGTGTGTCGGCCCATCAGATGCTGATGAAGATGGTCATGGGGATGCTGACTAGTCCGTGAGCACACACAGCTCGCCTAGCCGGCATCACTCCGTTTTCACGCCTTCTTTCATCTAATCCTCACAACAACCCATCATTGACGTGGAGGAGCCTCAAATTCAGAGAGATCAAGACAGTTCTTCCATACACAGCTGGGGAACCACAGGGCCAGGACACTAATGCTTTTCTCTGCACCATACATGAGTTAATCAGACCTTTAAAGCACACACAGCTCGCCTAGCCGGCATCACTCCGTTTTCACGCCTTCTTTCATCTAATCCTCACAACAACCCATCATTGACGTGGAGGAGCCTCAAATTCAGAGAGATCAAGACAGTTCTTCCATACACAGCTGGGGAACCACAGGGCCAGGACACTAATGCTTTTCTCTGCACCATACATGAGTTAATCAGACCTTTAAAATACTCTGCCATCCCTGCCACTGTCCACTGTG